TATATCTTAATAAAGGAGACACAAATTTAGCCATATTTTATGGGCTTTCTTTTTCATTACATATGTTCAGAAAGTTAGAAAGTTCCTTCCTGCATGCCAGATCAAAAATGCTTATAATGTAAGACCCTTCACAAGCAATTAAGGGAGCACTGAAAATAAGGATACTGAAAAGAAGCCATGTGTTTTTTCTGCTCCTATAGCTGAAGGTTAATTTGCTATCTCCACATTTCCCATCTGCTATTCAGTGATTCTGCCCATTTCTTCTGGACAGTAACACCAGAAAACTCAGCCTTTTACCTCAGCTTCTGCCACATTTAACCATTCCTTTAAGGGTCTTTCCTGTTTCCCAGAGATCTTTAGTTTTTTTCTCCCTTTTACTAACAGGAGTAGCTGCACCTCATTACAGGGAGGTAACACAGGGGCTGTCAGCCATTCCCACCTCCTCCCCATTTCAGAAATGAAGCTGTAATATCAAACATTTTTGTTATAATTTACTAAAAAAAAAAACACAAAAGAGGAAATTACAAAATTCAATTAAATTTTATTCAAATAATAAATGATATGTCATAAAAATAACACAGCTAAGTGACAAACTAAACATTAAATTAAACATGAACTTAATAACAAATACAAACTTTGTTCACCAAGATTCCAAGACTCAGAAGACAACTCTGCATGCCTTTGCTGCCACAACTTTGATATTGTTTGTGATGGGTCTATATTTTGAGCCACAGAATTTTCAATAGATACGATGGCCAGCAAAGATAGCTTGCTGTTTCCCATGGTTGAATGATCACAAAGATGTTTTTATGAGCTTCAACTTTGAGAAGCTCATTTACCACTCACCACCGATATGGGCTTGGTTAGTAGAATCTTGAGTTCTCCGTGTGCTTGAGAAGTTGTCATGAGAAGTTCATTGTTGTAAATAAATTGTAGAACTTCTTGAGGAGCACTACAACATGTTTGAAGTGGACTTCCTTTCTTTAGTCTAGTTTTCTTTATTTCTTTATGTAGCAGGGCACTAAGGTGCCTGATACTTGAAAAGAACTAGTATGGGCTCAGGTGCTGGTTTCTAGGGGCAACCAGGAGGAGCTAAGGGCCCACACCTGGTGAGTCTGCTGACCGGAAGGGGCAGGGCTGACCACTATAAGACCCTGGCTGGAGGCTGTGAGTGCTCACTTGCTCTGTCTGCTAGCAGATAGGAAAAAGGAGTACTCCCTGAATGTGCAAAAGAGAATAAGGCCTGAATGTACCAGCCACTAGTTACATGGGTGAGAGATGTGGTGGGGTTTGGAGAACGTTTAGTCAGGAGGTTTAGCTTTGTGTTATAGCCCAGGGGCTTGTGTTATTGTTTTTTTTTATTGTTGTTATACTGGAGGACCAGGTGAGGTTACGAGGGGTTGGAGGAGGCCTCATAGGGACTCCACAGTAGCGTGGGGACCCCGGTGCCAGAGAGGGCACAACATTCAGGGGTGCACTGACCCCAGCCCTAAGAAGGGGAGCAGAGGATTGGGAGGAGGCCAGGTAAGGCCGAGGCCACCTGAGCCCTAAGGCAAGAAGCCCCAGAGCGGGCAGTTGTGAGAAGCCCCAAAAAGGGGACAAGCCCAAGAGCACCAGTGAGGCGCAGGCTGCGAGACAAGCCAGAGAGCATCTGTGGGGCATGGAGAAGGAAATCGACCAAACAATGTCTGGTACATCTGCGAGGCTTGGGGCGTGGTACAAAGGTGGTTGGAGCCATGCATAGCCCATAAGGCTGGGGTGCACCGAGTCACCCAAAATAGAACCGAGACCAAGATACATCAGAGCACCATGTCAGAGAGGACAAAAGGCAGCCTCCCTTATACATTGTTAACACCAAAGACCTGGTGGGCGAGATGTGAGTGTGCTTTAGTCCCACATTGGCATGGTAGGAGGCGCTAGGGGAGATCATGGCCACCCCTAGGACCCCGCGCTGTCACATTTTAGATAGCCAAGTTCTTTGGCAAGGTTGATGGTGTTAATGTCAGAACTCCTTCCATATGTCAACGCACAGTATACATCCTACAATGGTTCTTCAATTTTTTTTTGTGAGGGAGTCATGTAATCTTATATAGAAATCCCCAAAGGTTCACATGTTGCAAGTCTGAACCTGAATTCTGAATTAATTGTTTTATTTTCACATGCATAGCTAAATTGATTCTTTTTACGATGAGCGCAAGGGGCTGCTTTAAACACTAGATCAACACCAAGATTTTCAGCTATTTCCTTGGTTGTTGTCTGAACTCCTTTGTACATGACTTCCCTGTAGTTTACAATATAGTCACAACAGGCATTTATCAAGTTTGTGGTTGGCAAAAATTAAAACAAGTGTCCTGGCACTTGTTTGCAAATGTTTGCACACTGTCCCTGGAGCATCCTGGCATATGCTTGCACATATTGGCGTGCCCTTGCAAATGCTCAGCTGCCTCCCTCCCACGGGTGGTGCAGCTCTGGTATGTATTACTATTCAGGAAACAAAGGGAGTTAATGGCTCGTTAATGACTGACTGTTCTTTACTTCACAAGTATTAACAAAATCATCTTCCTTAGCTGTCCAAAGCTGCACCCACCCTCACTTGCCGAGCTGCACTGGGCCCTGAACAGTCACCCACACTGCGCATCTGTAAGACTGGCTCTGCCTGAAATAGTTACATTTGGTTTTGCTTTCATCTTCAACTAACAAACATAGTGCTAGCCCCCTAACATATTAGTCAAGCATCCAGTTTCTTTTTAGCTGGAGAAAAATGTGTGTTGTGTTATATGTGGTGATGTACCACACCACCTGCATCTCTTTTTCAAAAGTCTAGATTTGCCCATAGGGTGAATACTGCGATACTGACTATTCTCAGGTAATCACGAGTGAAGTGTTAGAAGAATAAGTGCTGAAACCGTCTTTGCAAATTGTCTTGGGGAGTGTCCTGAATTCCCCTCTACATTATGCTTATGCACTTTGCTGTGTTATTATTACTATGCTTTCAATAACAAATGAAAGTGGTTCCAGTGTAAGGATTAGATGTGGTACAAACATGCCACAGTCTGAGCTGTGCCCGTAACCATGGAAACAACATGATCAAATATACAAGACCTCATTTTGATCTGAGCTTCTGGAACTGCTTATATAGGGCAGCAGGACCCAGTATTTTTTTTGGGTGGGGGGCAAAAGGAGGGAAATTGATTCATGTTCTTTTGTTTTCTTTATGGTACAGAGAAAAGGCTTGAAATGTGTTTTGGAAATAATATTTCTTCTACTGTAGTCAACTTTCAGGAACAGATTAATACAGTAAACTCAGCAGAGCGAGATAACAGGCAAATGACTATCGTAAGACTGCCTGGAGCCCCTGTTCCAAACCAACTTGCATATCTATCAAGTGTCCTTAATGTTTGGGATGAAAAAAAAAATCATATTTTCTCTTCGAATGGGAGTAATTGTAAGCAAAATAGCACCTCAGGCTTATTAGCACTATTCTCTCCCCCCACTCAAAAAAAAAAAAGACTTAAACCTATTTTTATGCTGCTATCATACTGATAGCCAGATATGCTTAGGTTGGCTGCTGGGCCTAGCATGCATTTCTCCAACTAGATCCAAAGAGCTGCCTAAGAAGCCTCAGGTTTCAGCCTAGAAATGGTCTCGGGAGTGTCAAACCTGGAGTCCACAAGTCACATCTGGCCTGTGGAGCTGCCATCTGGCCTGCAGTGGCTGGAAATTCAGGAGTGGGATGAGCAAGATGAATTTGGCCTGCTGCCAAATTCCAGCGTACAGAGCCCTGTTGGGGACATGTTTCAGCAGGGGGAAGCAATGGCTCCATTAATTCCCATGATTCCATCATGCCGATCTCTCCATCACTGCTGCTCACCCTGCCACTGGAGATGAGTCCAGTAAGGTGCCCTGTGGTCAGGATGCATCCCAGGGGGCCCAAATGAGTTTGAAACCTCTGGTGTGTCTCATTCCAAGTAACAGTGCTTGGAGGCAATGCCATTCAATGCAAACAGTGCAACAGCTCCCTCCCTCAGTGAAGTGCTTCCTATAGCGATGGCAAATCTCTGAACTACACCCCCATTCAAAACACTGTGGTTTCAAAATGAATGCAGTTGTGGTTTTCCCACACAGAGCTCTTTACTGCTGCTCTTTTGATTACTCTTGGCCTAAACCAGGGGTGCTCAACAGATCCAGTCCTTCATCCCATGTCATCTGGCCCACAGGGCTCCCAACTTTGTGGGCTGTGGTCCTACATGCTAGACTGAGTGTGCAGGGACCCCAGATCCTGGCTGGGCAGGAGTGGAATGGGGTCCCTGGAGCCTGATCCAGGAAAAGCAGGGGTGGTGCAGGTTCCCATGGCCTGATCCCAGCACTTGGGGATGGTGTGGGGCCCAGTCCAGCCCACAGTTCAGCCCCCCACCATTCATCTGGCCTTCAGGGACAAGACTGTGAGCACCTAAACCAAAACTTCATGGGCCATGCTAAGTAGATGTCCTTGGTGGAAATCAGAATGTGCTGTCGCTGACCACCTTTGTCACTGGGCATGAAACATGGCCGCCTGCAAGCCAGCCCCAAATCACAGGTGCTGCAGTGATTTAAAAAATCCAAGTGCCTGAACCATGGGAAGGTAAGAGAAGAAACCTGCTTTTAGCTGGAGCTCTGCCTTTCTTTTACTGCTGGATTCAGCAGCTAGATATGGCGGAGATCGATTGTCTTTCTAAGGGTGACAGAGGTACAGGTGCAGATTGAGGGGGACACCTAGAAAAGATCAGCTGCCTCTGAGTATGTAGGGTGAACCTCCACTCCAACCTACCCCAGCTATGGGAAAGAGTTGCCTGGCTGTGGGAACAGAGACCCCACGGTGGGCCAAATTAGGGGGACTCTGCGGTTTTCCTTCACAGGATGGAGTCAGTAGGGACTCACTGGGCCCACAGACTCAACATGGGTTTACCAGACAGCAAAGGACTGGATTCTCCCTGGCAGGATGGGCCCAACTACTCGCATACCCCTGCCCGGGCTTTTTCATCAACCTGATTGGCGCTGGCAAGCTTTTCTTCTTCCTCGTCTTCTTTGTCTTTGTCTTGTCTTCGTTTTGTTTTAATCATAATCATTATTACGATTATTGTCATTATTATTACTATTACTGTCACTATCCTTATCATTATTGTTGTTATTATGTTAATCATTATCATCATCACTATTATTATTGTTGCCATCATTATAACTATTATCATCGTTGTTATTATTACTATTCCTGTCATGGCTATTATCACTGGCAGGCGTGTGATTATCAACAACAGTAATTTGATCGATAGCATTAATATTATGACTACCATTCACAGGATGATTACTAATATTGCTACCTCATAACTATCCTTGTTATTTGTTATCGATGCTATTATCATCATGATTCCTGTACTTTCTCTTTCACTCTAGGGTTTCATTTTACTAAACACCCTTACCGTTTCTTACGATAAATGCTTCTTTCTCATCTCCCTTTCTTTATTGTCGTGGCCCGCACTTCTCCTGCAAGCGGCAGGCTCGCCGGTGTGTGCGGGCCACCGAGAGAAGGCGGCGGAGGAGCAGGGAGGCAGCCGAGGCAGGGAGCCCTGGGCCGCTCGGGCAGACCGTGGAGTTTCCAGGGCGGTAGAGTAAAAGCACTATACAGGTGGCTCGTTGGTCTAGGGGTATGATTCTCGCTTAGGGTGCGAGAGGTCCCGGGTTCAAATCCCGGACGAGCCCAAGGTTTTTTTTTCCTTGC